GTATTTCAGAAAAGCTGATTGAAATGGATACAACCAAAAAAAAAACACAACAAGGGAGGTTGAATCTCTTTTGGTTAAAACAAAATAATAAAAAAAACTGTCTCAAGCTGAAGGCCAAGAAAGCTTCAGGCTGCTCACACGAGTCTGTCTTTTAAAGCAAAGGGTGTTTGTGTGTTCATGTGTGTGTGTGTGTGTGTGTGTGTGTGTGTGTGTGTGTGTGTGTGTGTGTGTGTGTGTGTGTGTGTGTGTGTGTGTGTGTGTGTGTGTGTGTGTGTGTGTGTTTAGCAGCAGACAGTGTGAGTTTCCCTCTGCAGAGAAAGCCTGAGTGACATCAGATGCCTGAGGAATGCCACCGTAATAAGAAAGAGAAAGCAGAAGGAGAGAGAGAGAGAGAGAGACTCAGTAAGAAAAGAAGGAGGGATGTGGCAGAACGGGACGGACTGGTTTTTATGTGTAATGAGAACATCCTGGATGGAGGAGACGAGCCCGCTCGGGTTAAACCTGAACAACACACTGAGCATCTTGTTGACCTCTACCAGTGATTTTCCACTTTCTCTTTCTCCTGAATCCCTGTCGTTCACTAAAGCTTTTAGTTAGACTCCCATCAGACCTTTATAGCCTCTTTCAATATATTATACCTCAATTTAGTTTATTAACATATCTTGGTCGTTGTAAATGCCCTTTAAGTCCACTGACATCTCCTAAGTAATTTGACTACTTTTAAAAAGGTAGTTTGTTTTTTTAGAGGTCGTGTTTTGGTGCCTTTATTTTAGAGACAGGATAGTGGATATAGTCAGAAATCTGGGGAGTGGGACAGTGGTCAATAACATGCGGGAATGGAGCCACAGGTTGGATTCAAACCTGCCCTCATGGAGGACTATGGCCTCCGTACATGGGGAGCGCACACTAACCACTAGGCTACCAGCTCCCCTAGTTGGACTTCTTTGAAGTCATTGAAAATCTCTTTTTCTAGCTTTCTGGTCTATTTTAATCACTTTATACTGTACATCTTTGAAGCTTACTTACACCTCCTTCTTTATTTTTGGATGAATGTTTCAGGTTATTTTTAATGAATCCTTCTTTTTTTCCAAACCCCTTTTACTGGCATTGTACATCTTTTTTTTTTGGTCTTCTGACTTCTCTACACAGTCGTTTAACATCTCTTTAAGTCATATGCCAACAGTTTTATGTGAATTGACTTCTATTTTTGGTTATCTTTATTTTCCCTTGAGTCCCCCATGTCTCTAATTTGATGTCTTTTCATTTATTTGACATCCTAAAGTCCTTTGAAGTCTCCTTTTTGTCATCTCTTTTAAGCCGTTTGACATTTCTTTATGTTTGTGTTACAGATCTTTAGAGTCATTAAAATTCAGTTTTTTAAATCATGCTTTTTATTTAGTAGTTCTTTGTCTCTTCGTGGTTCATTTTGAAATATGTACATGTTTATGCAGTACATTCGTTTTTGGCTACCTCACAGGTGAGATGTAAGAACCTTCAAAGTTACCTGAGACAGCTACATTCTCCTGCACATTATAAATAGCACTGACTTCAAGGCAGATGATGTACTCAGTTTAACTCAAATTGAGACAGAACAATAAATAACACAATGCAAACTGCTGCTGAATGTGTTTCACATTCCTCTGTTGTAGAAGTCGATCACACTTATCATCTTACAGCTCATGAGGTCAACAGTCAGCGGGGAAGATTACAATCAGCCCACACAGCCGACAACAGAAGAGGAAGTCAGCTCTGCATTCTCACACAGCCGGCCGCTCAGTGACCAGTCAGTCCCTGGTTGCATAAGACTTCGTCAAGATGTCATACATTATAGTGATGCAACATGCTGAAACATAGGCTGACGTCAAACAAGGGATAATCCCAGTGGTCATTTCAGCTGATGCTGATTCATTCAATTTATAAAAACAATACGCCCAAGTGTCCACTCTCAGACAGTTAACCTTTATCAAACTTCCACTGAAAGGTTTCAGAAACATGTACAGATGTAAAGGAGACTCTATGTAACTACTACTATTAAATGTGGATGCATTGTGGCTGTCCTGCGACAACAATATCCCCAAATACCAACTCAGACCCGACTGATGTGGGATTTTTGGGGCCGATACCGAAATCAATATTGGGGAGAAAAAATAATGGGATACAGATATATTGGCCGATATCTTTCTTCGAGCTTTGTTCTATCAGTAGAGACAGATCGATTTAGATAAACACATTGATTGCGTTGAAGTAACATGCATGTATCACAGCCTGACACTCTGAAGAGTGATAATAACACTTGTTGTAATCCATAAATCACACTCTGACGGTGACAGACACAAAAGAGACCTGCTTGTGTAAACCAACGATACTCAAATGAAATGCTGTTTGACAGGTAAATAAATCTAGTAATATCAGTGCATATCTGCGATCAAATTAGCCGATAGCGATAGTCACTTGATACCCTAATATCGGCCGATATTATCTGCTGGCCGATTAAGCAGTCGGGCTCTTATTGAGATGCTGAGAAATACCGCCCTGTTTTCTGACACTGCATTGTTCTAATTAGACTGTTTTAATTAGTTTCAGAAGAAGGGCCCTTTAAGGACGCACATTGAAGTAAAACAAGTTTCATTAAACTTACTAATGTAAGGAATATGTTGTTTCAAATTTGCGAAAACCTTGAAGGTTGTACCTGTAAGTCAAAAAGCATTAGTCATTGTATACTTAAAATACATATACAGCATGCCTATATCAAACAGAGGTTTGTCGCATTATCCTTGAAGCCAAAGCTGAATTAAGAAGAAAAAAACTGTATTAGCTATAAGATTCAGGACAGACTCAGTAAATTAGGAATGGCCTGAGAAGCAGTGTGTGCAGTCAAAGCTAAGATCTTTTTGGTACACACCAATCTGTTACCCTTTTGTCCTAATCATCGGACCCCGATCACAAGAATTTTCAAACATTGTTTAATGTTTGTCCAACAGAAAGCAGAGATTGGCTGTGTGAGGGCGGCTGAGGAAGAGAGCTGGGAGGGAAGGAACAGGCTGCGCTCACACAATGAGGCTGTGAGGAAACGAGCTGGGAGGAAAAGAGGGAGAAAGAATGACCGCAGACGAGTACACAGTGGCTGGTGTGCAGGTTGAGTCAAGTTCACTGGAACATGATGAGTGAGTCTGGCTCTGGATCAGCTTGGCTTGTGCAACTGTTACACAAGGCTGCTTTTTTTTTTTTTAAGTTTAACAAGCACGAATGTACAGAGTATATATGTTGACATTGATTTTAACACTGTTAAGACAAACACTGTCTACTGTAGTTCAAGCATGTCCCCCTTGTTGGCTCTCGCTGCCGCTCCACAGAGAAGCCGCTGAGCAAACAAGGTGTCAGAGTGAGAATGAATGGAGCCACAGAGGCCTTATCTTCATGCGGGATGCCAGCACAGAGGTTACAGCTTTACAATGGAAGTCATGGGCTGCTTTATGGACACTTTTCTACAACCAAAATATGTGGACGGCGTTAAAGACACGCCCACATCAATAAAGTCACAGTTTGGGGCCCTTTACATTCAAGCTTAACCCTGCTGATTAAGAGTCTGCAGACACATCATGACATCCAGCTGTTATATAATAACACCTACAAAATTCATATCAGCAGATTGAAGTCAACTAGTAAGAGCTACTCTCAGCACTGTCTTTATTTTCTGTCATTTCAGGTTTATGCCATTTGGCGATTAATCCGAGGTATTGCATTGCAGATGTTGCGGCTGTAATGTCAATCTAATACATAGATTCAAAATGTGTTCTTAGAGGTAACTGTCTGTTTTCTGGTTATTGTATGATTTGTTGGTTGTCATTATTGTCAGGTATAAATGAAGGTTGATCGCTCGATTAAAATCCTGGGAATGGATGACAGCTGTGGCCTGTACTTTCCAGATGCAAGCAGTGCTGCACCTGAACGGAAGTCTGTAGTCTTGCTCTCAAAACAAAGACTATTTGATCTGTTTCCAGCTATTCTTGAATGACAGAAAGTGCATTGGAAACCAATAAGATAAAAAAATACAATTAGAGACAAATATCAAGAAGTCACTGGTCCTCCTCATAGGTTTCTTAAAACAAGCAATTTATAAACTTATAATTGGTCAATTATTTGGACACAAAACAAAATCAGGATATTAGCCAGTTCCGTCAACGGTGTTAGGCATCTTTGGTCCGTTTGTTTCCCAGTCACAAACCTGACCTATTAGAGCTCCCTGCCAGCTGAGCTCTGCTGCCAAACTGCGGGGTAAATAAAGCCTGTGTGTGGAGAGTAACAGCTCAGTAGTGCCTGCCACCATTCTTTCACCGAGATCTCCAAAATAAGCTGCACTGCTCCAGATCTGAAGTAGAACAACCTCTTTTTGTGGCTCTTCTATCGGGCCTCTTCCCCTGGGCCCGACAGTCTCACTAACCCAGGTTCAGTTCAGAGTTTGACCCCGGGACTTTGTTTAAGGGGAAGTCCCTGTTTACTATGATTTAAAGCACATGTCAGAGCTGTTGGTTTTGTTCCCACAGACAGCGAGCTTCTTACAGCACAGTACACCACAGCCAGATATAGTGGATTCATGCACTGATAGTCATGTTAATGCAAGAGGGTATTTGGAGTGGTGTCAGTCCTGGGACCTTCTCAAGGAACTCTGCTGAATTGACTCCACTTTTAGTTAAGCAGCAGCCGAACATGAATCAACTCAGATAGAAGCTTCATCAATAAAGGAGGGCTGCTGAAAGAAAAAGAAATACAACGTGATGCTGCCCTCATCCACAGCAACATAAACTACACTACAACCTCACTGGATTTAAAAGCCAGCACAACCAACCAATGCAATGGGCACGTGAAGGCATCAGTGCGTGGATAGTAACCTGTCTTTTCAGCTCGCCACCCACAATCATCCCCCACCCTGCAGGGCCGCAGCATCCCTTCCCCTCCTCCCGGCTCCGCAGCAGCAGCAGCAGCAGCAGTAAAGGACTCACCCAGTGTTTTGACTGCGATCTGGCGAGTCAGAGGCGGCGGAAGGTTGATGCAGACGAGATCCACATCCTGATGCAGCAGCACGTCGTCGATCCGGTTGGTGTAAAACGGCACATTCATCTCCTTGGCCAGCTCCTCCGCCTCCTCCTGCGTCCGGCCCCACAGCGCTTTGACGGCGAAGCCCTCATTCTTCAGCAGCGGGATGATCACCCGGGCGGTCAGGCTGGTGCCGAACACGCCGACCCCAGGAAGCATGGCTCGGGGTCAATAAGTCCGATCGTGTTCTGAGTGTTTGTTCTTAAAGCTCCGGATGAAGCCAGACCTGCTGCAGCTGCAGCGGCAGCGGCTGAATGGGAGGGAAGCGGCGGCTGGCACCGTCAGGTTGGCCATCCACCTGCAGCCAAACACCGCCTGTGCTGCATTTCCCCGTCGCTCCGGCTCTGCGATCGGGCATTAAATGTCGTTTTTCTCCGCTTGAAAAAAAAGAAATCCAAAACCTGCTGGAAAAGCGAGCCAGCCCTCCTCAGCGTGAATACGGGTAATTCAAATGCACCATTCCGGTCTTTACCTCGTCCTCGTCTGACAGCGAGCAGCGCACAGACTGCGCCAGGCAGTGAAGGGCATGTCACCTCCTCCTCCTCCTCCTCCTCCTCTTCTTCAGGTTTAATGTTCCTCCTCCAGCAGGAGCCTCCCTCACTTGAAAACAGTCACACAGAGCCGGACAGGAGATGTGTCTGCCGGCATGCTCTCACAAACACCGCCGTCTCCCTCCGTGTGCTCCCCGGAGGATCCGCAGCAGCAGCAGCAGCGTTATTATGCTTGAGGCGAAACAGACATGCGCAGTCAAGTCAGAGACAGCGACAGGAAGCGCTTTTAGACGGAGGATTTTCTAAATAAAAGCTTAATTGACGAGAATTGCTACCATAAGCACCCCCTATAGAACTGACACACATTGATATTAAGTATAAAAAAGAAGAATGAATAAAATTACACCGTAACCTACATGTGTATGCAGGTCTTTGCCTTTATAATAGGCTATAATTAGTCTTTTTTTGCAATAGTTTGGTGCTATATTTCTCATAATAAAAAAAAACAGTTCACACACAATACTGAAAACATAAAATAGTCACCTTTAAACAAATGGTGACAATTACAGGCCTAAGTCTTAATTTTGACTTTCATCTTCCTGTTTTTAGAAGAACTAGATGTATTTTAAAACCATTATATCCAATTAACCAGGAAGTCCCTTAAGATTAAATACCATTCAAAACATTGCTGGCCAGAGCATCATTAGAGATTACTCAATTATATATGAGTGACTCTAAAACGCCCAACATGCAGGAAAAAAACATCAACAAAACATAAAAAAAAACAACAAGCAAACAAAACCAAGTCCAGTTTATGAAAAAACGTGTTTCCTGTTCAAAAACAGTTTTTAAATCAGAGCCCTGAACTCTCTCAGGGAGCTCCATTTAATGATGTTGTGTCATTATTCAATCTATCAGTATAAGAAGCAGTAGTAGAAGTAGTGGCAGCCATGTAGGAGTACGATTATTATACGTTTATTTTTATAATACAATCTGGTACAAGTTCCGGTCTGAGTCTGTCTGTCCTCATGTAACTTAACGAGTCTCTTTAAGCCTCTCGTTCCTGTTTAACCCTTCAGCTCCTGGACAGAATGAGGAAGTGTGGCCGGCTGATCTGAGGGGACTGTTCGCTATCCTGGAGTCTTTATTCAACAAGAAACGAATTAATGTTAACAATCATAGGAATAAAGCCTATTTGTTTGTATCCTATTTGTATTCTTCTACAAATCTTTAATGTAAAGTTACTAGAGTCATTATTTCTTAAGGTGCCTGTTCAGATTTTGGTTCCAGAAGTCCAAAACTGACATCTTATCGAATTAGGAAAAGGTTATGTAGTACTTTGTATTTTGCATCAGGTATCAGTCATCATATTGGTACACACTGTGTTGTCCTTGTTTCTTCCTTGATCTTGAGTGTTTTCTGTTTTTCTCGTTGGCCAAGCTAAATGGATGCAGTTCATACTACCAACAGAAAGCTCTGTATCAGGAAGCAACAAGACAGAAACTGTGGATGCAAACAACAATGAAGCCATGATGGAGCTGAGCTTCTTCGCAGTCTGCAGAAAGGATCAGAAACCTTTGAAGTAGAGAGAGGATTTAAATATTACCACGGTTGATTCAACAGTGTGCTGCTCTCCTCCTCGCCCTCTCACATCTCTCTTTTCCTCTGGGGTTCGTCATGAATTTTATGTGTGATTAAAGAAAAAGCAACCATATTCTGAAAAGTATTAAAGCATTCCTGTAACTTTGTTTGAATTTTCTACATTTCCTTTTCACTTGACTTCTGATAAACCACTTACTGTCATACAGGTGCTCTCAGTCAAGGCTGGACAACCAAACCAATTACATGCACCTGCAACACAAGCACAAAAGAGGGCACAACCAAACCGGCCAGAGGGCCAAAACATCACTTTTACTGTAATTTGTGTTTCTGTATTGCTGATCTCTGTTAAGGTAACACTTAATCAATACTCAATTTTGCCTTGTGTTTTTGTTTTTTAGGGGAATAAAATCCACCATTCTTTCAGTCATTTTGCTGCTCACCAACACAAAACATCCCTCTCTGCTGACCTGCAGCTGACTGGATCAATCATTTCGGTAGATGGAAAAGCTGAGCGTCATAGCTGAAATCAATACAGGCGCGAGCACTCAGTATTACACTGACATGCTCACACCTCTTAACTGTTTGCTCATAGTGGCGGTGCTTCTGCTGCAGAGCATCAGTGAGAAGGTTTCTTTGTGGTTTTTCTATCTTTGTCTCACACACGTTTGTACACTTTCGACACACGTCAGCTCCTGCTGTCAACATACTGCCTCATCGATTGGGTCAACAAATGCACAGAGCAAACACGAATGAGACAGCACTTTGGACTGACAGATAGCGCAGAGAAAGTGGTGCAAGGCAACCACAGGCCGCGTGAAGTCAAAGGTCAGGGGTGTGCATGTCAGGGAGTAACTGTCAGACTGTGTGGCTGCGCAGTTGATTCCCTTCAATCTAAAGAAAAAAGGGCAGCTGAAGCCTTTTGAATATTTGGTAGCATGGTTCAGGTTCAGCCTGGTTAAAGTTACATCATCACAACTTACCAACAGATACCATTAGCATTCAAAAGAAGTCAATACTTCAGACTGCACTGTACTTAATGCTTCTGTAATCGGTGCAGGGCAGCAGAGCTAAACTATAATTCCAGTAGACATGACAAGCATCATGTTCTGACACAGGATCCCTTTCTCTCCGTCAGGGTCACGCTCTAATTGGATCAGATGTTGGTACACTTTGTTTGTTTGTGTGAGACAGAGCATGTGACCAGTCAGAGGGTCAGGCCTGTCAGAGCTGGATAGCCGATTGTCCAGTAAGATAGGAGGGGAGTTGCAGATGGGGCAGGAGGAGGCCGACACCTCCCACACCAGAGAGGCTGAATGTTAACCTGACATGCTGCTGGGAAGACGAGTACTGGTCAGTAATGTGTGAAGACAGTCGGAAATCTATCTCTGGAAATCATATGATATATAAAACTAAGCCATACTTGATTTGGATTACAGATAATGCTATTATTAAAGGAAGGCTGCCATCAAGCTGCAGCAGAAAGTAAAATTGAAGGGAAGACAATGCTGCCCTCTGGTGGATACATTTAAGCACTACTCCACATCAGAGTGCAAGAAAAACTGTATCTGGTTGTTCTGTGGTAGTGTTTAAACTGAAGAGTCATTTTGGTCAGGTTTGAGTTTAAAGAGTGTTTAAAGCCTGTCTTCAGGGTCAGGGGTTCCCAAACGTAATGGTGCTAGAGACTGGGGACCCCCACTGTCCCTGTAGGTGGTTGAAGTATACATTTTTGGGGACAGGCACTTATAGGATTATTCAACCACTGGCATTAACAACACATAAGAACACAACAGCTTGTAAAAAAAAGAAGTGTATTTTAGTAATTTATTGTAATAAATGTTAGAAGCAGATTTAATAAACAGGCTCACAGGTGATGTCTGTGTGTGTCTGTTCTTTTTGAGAAGAGCAAAGGACACCTGTCAGTCAATCAGTGTGACTGAAAGGAGAATCAGGACCGAACGCGATTCAGTTTATTTCAGCAATTTTAATACCGTAATTACTCAGAGAGGCACAAATACAATTTACAGGGCTACCGTCCTCTACATGTACGCCCGCAAGTGACTTCCTGTTTCCAGCCCGTGAGGCCCGCCAGCTGAGCCAGACAGCAGCAGAAACACTTCACACAACAAAGCTTCAGCCTCGAAACAGTATGCACAAAGACACACACACATGCACACAGTTCTGCTGGTCCTCTCTCTCCCATGACTCCACATTGAATATCAGTTTAATAATGAGAAATGTGATTGAACGAGCTTTTATTTCTTCAGCCGAGCCTCAGTGACTCCTTGAGGTAGATAACTTTCTCCAGTCACTCAAACACTAGAGATGTTAAACACACACTGCTGACGGTCCAACTTTACCTCTAGAAACATTTTCATGTATGAGTATAGCGTTTGAGTATGCAATGTTTGCTTTACTTCTATTTAGCTTAGTGACCAAATTAAAAGCGTCAAAAAAAGTATTTAATATTTTATCTTTACAATGATAAATGTTTCAAACTTTGTAAAACTAAGCAATTTATTATTTATTCATACCGAATTATGTCTTTTCTTTGGTGGCTAAAATATAAAACTGAACAACTGAAATAGTTTGAACTTCATAAATCCACAGAATCATTGAAACATTTTTTTTTGTCCCCTGGTTGCATCATTCAGGTCTTCATACTCTCAGTCCAGGGTGACACAGTCTCCTGAGGGTTTTTTTTCAGTCCTGTGTGTTGCATATGATGTGTTTCTGATGAGTTGGAACAAAAACACAACTACTTGACAGATGCTGCCGCTTCTCACACATACCGCCTCTCTCTGCCTCGGTCCATACAAATCACACTTACAAATGAACACTTAAAGTAAAAGAAGATCAATTATAATGTAACAAACACTACACGGACCAGAACTAGGTAGTAACATAGGCATACATCAACAACTGAACCAAACACAACACAATAAAACACAGGTGTTGCATAACTGACAATGTGAAATGTCTCATTCCTCTGCAAAGAAGTGCAAGAAAGTAGGATTTTACTGCTTTACAAAATACTGCTCAGCTAATGTGAAAAGAAACTGTGGAGGTACACATGAAAACATTTTTGTTTGTTTGCCGAATTTAGCCGAGTTAGGTGGATTGAAATGCCCTAGAAATTGCAATGTTTTTATTTATGTATCAAATCTAGCTTTGAGATTGATTCTGACCAGGCCGAGGAGCTCCATCATTTCAAACAATTTATTGCACTCCTTCTTTTTTTTTTTTTTTTTTAGAATTTAAAAAGACTGAAGATTGCCATCGTAAAAAGCAGAAGCGACTGTGTGACCCCCGCTTTAAGATGCATTAACAGTACTTCCACAGTTTCTTTAAATTTTGGCACTTTTTCTTCTCCTACACAAGCTCGTTACGATGACTCAGTCTGGGACTCAAAGCCTAAAGAGACTGTCTGCTAAAACATGATAAAAGAAACACTGAAACATGAGTATTGAATAGTGTGAATGTACTTGCTGTCTGCACCCTTTATCACGAGCTGGTTTATCAGAATGTCACTCCATTAGTACAGTAGAATGTAGTGGTGGATTGACCAGTACAAAGTGTCACTGTAAACCAGTATACAATGACTTAAGTGCTGAGAGATGGGTAGTGCAAAGTCAACAGTGCTGGAGCTACGTCCATATGGGAAGAGTTACACTAACATGAGTCCATTTGTTCTTTACAAAGTCTTCTTTGTTAGATGCCAACAATTCTGTAGGCCGAGATTTAATGTGCCAATTATCCAATGTACTACTTCATGAATCTACCTCGTGCTGTCAAACAGTGCATGGATAAAAAAATCTATTCCCAACCGAGCACTACTTTTCACACCTTAAATATGTATACATGTGCATTTCATGTGTTTTTCCGTAAAGCTTATGAAGAGTTCTTGAATATTAACTATGGCTATTTTTCCTATGAAAACATGAGAGTTCTCTGACATGGGAAATGTAGACCAACGGTAAAAGTTTCAGTACCCGATAAATGAAATGTTCCCACCAACACACAGGAAGGTTATCCAATAACAGGCGCATCTTTACCTTCGTCCTTCACTAAATGATTGACAAGGCGAACGACCACAGAATGTTAAAACTACAAAAATGCTGCTATGTGAGGACCGTTCATCTAACACTAACTTTACAGCCTCACCAGGATGTTTCAGTCGCGCCTGATCACACGGATCACCTGACCTGGAGTTCAAACAGAAACCAGTATCTTAAAAGTTATGTTTAAAGCATTAAGTACAAATGGTGATCCAGACAACAGAGATCCCCAAACTACATGTAAAACTTCTGCATGTGCTGTCAGAGTAACTTGTCCTCCCTGTGCTTGTTTTTTTTTTTTCCAGGTCCAGAGTCGAGTACATCATCAGATAACATGAAATGACTACGAGGTTCAAATCAACAGCACGCTTTTCTTATCATTACACAGTGAGCGTCAGTAACTTGACAACATCGACACAAGAGGGAAAGAAAATGAAATGTAACAGAACGGAACATTTGAACAATATAAAGTGTCTCTATGCTCTATCTTCCATGTGCAGGGTAAGGGTGGCCCATCGTGGACACACACTGCACTCGTACTCTCAGCCAGTCAACTCATTTAAAGCTAACTGTTTCCTTCATCCTGAGGTCCTTCAAACCATCTGTCAGTCACAAGTGGTCCCGCCTTCCAACAATCTCTGCTCTTCATTAAAAAAAAACCTAAAATCAGGCTTCTTTCCAGAAAAAAAATGCCCGGTGACCAGTATCCATGGCAACAGCCAATGAGTGCAGGGTTGGGCACGAGAGTATTTTATGTTTAAGAGTAGATGGTGATGACTTCCCGTCCGCCGCCTCGCACCAGAAGGACCCGGTTCAGACCCTCGAGGAGAACCTCAAGGAACTCCATGTCTGAGAATCAGCAGTCAGGGAAGAAAACACAGAGAGACACAAACACGGAGCAGAACAGAGATTACTTCCCCACTTTACCCTATTCATTGTTTGTAACAGAGGAAGTCAAATCTGCAGTCATCTATTTAATGAAGGAGATGGAACAAACTTGTAAGCAAAGATATTTTCTAATGAATTATTATTTGGCATTGTTTTGCAACGCCTTCTTTACACTTCAGCATTTTAAATGTTAGGCTGTCATTTCCCCTTTAGGTGTTTATTTCCATTGCTGGAGCGTTTCAGGCTTTTTAATTTGGCTGCTCTTGTCAAAGAACCAAATGTAAGATTGGAAACTTTCACTGAATTAAATGAGCGAGTGAGCCATGTTAAGCAAGGCAATATGCAAAATCTGTGCCAAAAAGGACTCTGTGTAACAGGGCAATAAATGGAATATTAAATCTCGTCTAACAACCTCTTAACCACGCGTTTGAAGTGTAACTCTGCAGGTTTATCCCTACCAGCACCACTACACCTTTCATATTCCAGCTTGTTCTCTCAGTTCTGTGAGATACATGTTCTAAAATATTGTTTTAAGCTCCCTAAAGGATACAGTTCTCGTCTCCTCCTCTGTTCTTGGGCGGTCCCGGCATGTTGAGCAGAACCAGGTGAGCGCCCTGCGACTTGTTCACCACCATCTCGTTCATCTTGACGGCTGTGTGCATCCGACGGACATTTGACTGGTTCCTAGTTTGACAAGAAGGTCACAGGGAGAAGGTACAGCACTGAAGTAATCATCACTAACCAGACTTCACCAAACCTAAGCCTAAATGTTATTAGTAATCAAACTAAGAGCAGCGATGCTATAACAAGAAGAGAAGAATTCTAATATTATACTCATTTTTCAATTAAACCATTTCTCCATGAATATCAAGAGATTTTAAAATAGATAAACCAAGAATCTCCAAGAATACAGAGGGCCTTTTACAAACAGTAGTCATAGAAAATACATGACGTTTTCCTCTTCTTTAAATGAATAAAGCTTCTATTAACTGTAAAGCTACTTAGATCTGTTGTTAACTCGCTTATAGAAGGGAAAGCTACATTGTAAGCTGCTTATAAATTAAAGCATAATTATAACATTTCCAGAGAAAACTCCTTAACCAGTATTACACATAACAAACCACAAGGTCAAGCTCAAAAACACACACATGAAACAAGCAAGGCACGGTTTAGAAACTGAATTCACAATGAAGAGGCAGCATTTTAAGAAGAGACGAGACGAGCATTATAACAGCGTGAGATTCAACAATATGTCACTTATTATCGGGTAGTGTATCATAGTCGACTGAACAAACTAATTCTAGGACTCTAATTAATATTACTGTGATTTATAACAAATGTCAAACGTAGCCTCGTCGCTCTCCTTTGTCTTTAAATGTTGCCTCTTCATAATGTTAGATAGACACAAAAACAGTGAAGCAAGACATCCACTGCCAAAAGCCAAATGACATGATGGTGAAACAAAATGTTGCTTTCCATTCTACTCGATAAGAAAATTGGTTATGTTTCATATCAAATCCAAATAAGTATTTTCTGTTGATAATCACTCATACGGGGAATGGAAAGCACATTTTTTGCATGCACTAAACATTGTCATACATTTTCATCCGCTTTTAACCGACAGAGACCAACATGCTCTTTGATGCTGACAAAGGAAATCCATGCACATTAGGGCACACACACAAAATCACACACACACACACACACACACACACACGCACACGCACACGCACACGCACACGCACACGCACACGCACACGCACACGCACACGCACACGCACACGCACACGCACACGCACACGCACACACACACACGAGCTGGAGGACACTGAACAAAGCGCTACAGACAACACAGCAGCAGAACACAAATACAGCCAAGAGCAAAGTGAATGCAACTTACAGACTCTCCCACTCTCTAGAAGGAGGAAAATGGGACAGAACAACAGAAACAAGCTTAGATGCTTTCTACATCAGCTCGCCAGCCCAATCCACCACACTGCATGCTTCAAACTGTCCCAAACGGCTCGTCCTGACACCCAAAGGTGCGCAACACAAAACCCAGGAGAGAAAAAAAGGAGCCGTTTGATGTGAGAGGCGTTTGTCAGAAAAGAAGCCTCCATTTCTTCTTGTCCTGTGAGAGTGACTTCAATGACAATCTTTATGAGCCAATTCATTAGGACTGGAACACCTTACAGACTAATAGTATGGACAGTATTGGATGATGAAGAGTTAGTCTTAACAGCAAAATGGTGTGCGTGTGGTCTGCGTGGTCTGGCCATGCACTAAGACCGAAAGGCCTGGAAGTGTACACACATGCGCGCACACACCAAATGCAGCCTGAATGCACACACCATGCAGATAGTTGTCCCATTTCACCCTGTCAACCTCAATACAGCTACTTCTACTTCATCTAAACATGCTGTCCTCCTGCACTGAGGCTCTGGCACCATCCTGAAGTATTTATCAGTACTGTATGTGCTGTTGTTGACTCTTAATATCCTTTGTGTAGACTATCTTGAAAACGTGTGAAAAGCTATTCAAAATGGTGCAAACGTCTCTCACTAAGTGCATGCAAACAACATCACGTTTTGTACAACCACCATAACAGTATTTTTCTTTAATTCAGGAATAGATTTTGAAATGGGATTCCTGTATTTTTAACCTGAGCCCTATTTTTCTTGTACATAGTTTGGGGCCTAAAGGACTATTAAGTACAAAAGAATTTGGAATGAAATATTTAGATTGCTTCTGTCGGCAGATAAAAACACAGGGAAACATTAGTAACATTAGCTTTTGATGGCAAATGCACCCCAAAGTGCTTGTTTTTTTTGCCACTGACTGCTTAAAGTTTGTTACTTGTGGAGTCAAACGTTTGACAGAAAGAATCATTACAGTTAGAGAACATTTGGATAAGGGAAGTTTAAAACAAGCTTTAAAACAAAACAAGAAACAAGCTCATTTTGAAGCGTCCAGACTCCACTGACAAATAAAAATACTTTCATTTCACAAAACATGGAAGTTGTTGGTCTACTCCTGCCTCTTCCAGTCAGTAATTTTGTTTTCTTGTGTGATTTTGGTGTGTTAGATGGTTAACTATGATCCAACACAACACAATAACACAAACAAAACAAGTCAGGTGAAGACCAGCAGACCCTGTGTTCTGTGAGGAAAAATGACTGATTTTGTAATCTAGGCTGGTGGCTTTTAAGAGAGCTGTGTTGCTTGCAGCTGATGAATTAAGACATTAAGAAATAATCTATTTCTGTAGCAATTCTATCTGTAACTTTGACGGACACTCAGAATAGCAATACGAGCCTTCCACAGGCAAAATCTAGCACGTATAGGAGCCACACTTGTATCTGGTGCATGTGTCTTACAGATTACACAGCTGCCATTACAGGCTGTCTCAAGGCTGCAGGCTGAAGCAATCTACTGGAGCAATCACTAAGTTGTTTGTACACATTAGACACTTGGACACTAACATACTGTATAATGTGATATTTCAAGATATAGAAAGAGCACCAATAAGGTTTTTTTATAATCAGAATTGGGTGTGCGGTCTGCTTTTAGGGTAGTATTTAGATGAATGTGTACCGGTACTTACGGCTTCATGTTAAACAGGTCGCGCACAGCCACATTGGCGTTCATCTCACGGTTACGGTTACGCTCTGTGAAGAGCTTGTCCTTGGTCCAGGTCATGTGAACCCGCTCAGGCCCAGTGTCGGCCTTGTCGTTTATGGCAGCGTGAGATGCAGTGTTTCTGTCATGGATGAGCTGAGCCTGTAAAGAATAGAAACAAAAAAGAAAGATGAAACACAAAAAAACTGAATTAAATTATCGACTTTAAATAGGAAAGGTTGGTGTAAAAAACAGAAACCATGTTGGTGGAGTCCAAAATGGTAAAAGAAAAAAATAAGAGTCTGGAGAGAGGAAGGGAATGATAAAGTAAGGAGTGATAAAGAGGAAAATGAATGGTGCTTCTCCACTGAGAAAATCATGATGTACAAACAAACAAGGAGCATTGACAACTTTTCTTTTACTAGTTGATAGAAGTTGTACAAACAAAGCTAGAGAGTAAGAGGGATAATATACCTTTAAAGGTCACATATTATGCTAAATACACTTTAGACTTTCAGAAAATGTTTGCTCAAACAGGCTGTTTATTTGTTTGCACTATTGTCTAATTTAGTCTTTGCTTATTTTGTATCTATTGTTGTTATTTAATGTTAAATGTTTGTACATAGAGAGCACAGTTCACCAAAGCCAATTTCCCTGTGTGCAAGCATACCAGGCCAATAAAGCTGATTCTGAGATCTCCCCTTTATGACATCACAAAGGGCAGTAACCCCTCCCCCAGGTGGGTGACACTCCCACATCTAGGTGTTTGTTCTGCCCTCTGAGTCTGCCTTCTCACTGTAAACAATAGGGCATGGTGCAAGAAAGCCCTAGCCACATCCGCAGAGGGGGCGTGGTCAGACACAGCTCATTTGCATTTAAAGCTACAGACACAGAAACAGCCTGTTCTGAGCAGAAAATAGAGGGGTTTATAGGCATGATCAAAAAGAGGATCAGAGAGGATTTTTATCAAGAAACTTCACAGACATGTTTTGGGGAGCTCTGAGACTTATTTAGACTGGTTGAAAAGGAGAATAATATGTGACCTTTAAATTATACTGACATCACACATGGGTAACAATATAAATGTAGAAAATACTAAAGATCCGAGCAATGGTTAAAATACAACATTTATCGATGACTAAAGAGTACAGTGCAGTAAAAATGAAAACAAACCAGACTGGGAAGATTTGGTGTGAAGACAGGAATGTTACATATACACTGAATATGAAAAGATGCTTTCCAAAGATTATTAAACATGCTTGAAATATGTTACTTATAAGCCCGACTGTATGCCTATGATGCAAGTAGTGCAGGGACTATAAAGCACATCAGAGCAAAATCAAAATAAAGCATTGTTATATACATATAATCTGATTTGATAACATTTGACAGCACATATGTTCACTTCTGTTCCTGTGTGTTCACTACAGAGAACAATGTCAATAGCCATATAACAAGAGAGAATAACAAAAGGATAACAATGCATTATGAGTTTATTACTGTCTCATGATGAAGACAAGGATTGTGGCCTCTGGATTTATTAGCTCATGCTCATACATGATAAAGAGATAATGCACCTTCATAAAACAACATGCTGACTATTTCATTTATTGAGGGCTTCTTTTAATTCTGAATATCCATTTCGACCCGGGAGGCATGTTGTTTTCAATGAATGAACACGGACTACAGGTAGGAATGGCAGGAGGGTCGGAAAGGTCAACATGAAAATGATTTTGGTCCGGCTAAAACAAATGTAGAGAGTACAGTACTGTCAAGTCTGAATGTTGAATAGAAACATGTGAATACTCTTATAGCAGCCCGGTAAAGCAGTAAATGAATGGCACATGTCAAGACTTTGTGGCTATATCAATCAAATGAGTTCAACCTCTGTACAGTGGCTGGAGTTTATACAGTCTCGATGTTCCATGTGGAATAACCATTGACAGTGTATTAAGGGGAAAACCCAATGTTAGCATGCTAGCATTAGCATTCAGCTCAAAAAACAAAGCTTAGTGACTTGTATCCTGCAGCGCAAGCAAAGCTGAAAAAATTGTTAAAAGCTTTTAAAGTTGTTAATTCTGAGGATGCTAACAAACAGACACTATTTTCAAGTTTCTGAGACAATACCGTTTGCTCTTTACATTATTTCGGGGGAGGTTGGGGTGGAGGCGGGATCATGGAAGTAATGGGAAGTCGGGCAGCAGTTCCAGGGAGCATCTGGCTGGTATTCACAAAGCAGCTCTTTAAGACTGTTAGTAGCGCTATTGTAAGGCTGGTCTGGACTTGTGGTTAACTTTTCAGATGCAGGAGATGGATGCTATTAGAGACAATGAATAAGCTTCTCTCTCTGGGGAAGTTATTAGCATGAAATATTTCCTAGAACGTCGAATGACTCCTCTCTTTCCTCACAAAGCTACAATAACTGTCTTGTCCTCCAGTGGTGATTGTGATTTCACACTGCTGCAGTCTATGGAGATCAATTTGTTTTGGCTTGCTGGGGATTTTCTAGAGCAGCTCTGGTTCAGATGTAACATGCACAGCACTGAGCTTTAAAACAACACTACATGAACATGGTAAATAAGCCATGATCTGAGGATATGGTCAAGCCGTCTGATATACATTTAAAAAACCAGAATGATTTATCTAGAATTCAAGATCTCGTCTACTATACCACACTGACTGTTGTCCAAGGTCTTCATGTCACATTGTTTGGGATATTAGCTTTACTAAAGCATCTTAAAAGGGTTGTTTCATTAAATTCATCTCTTTGCAGAGAATATTTGTAACATCAAACCAGTGCCGATATGCACAAGAGTAAATCATTACAGCAAATCACACCATTTTCTACATTGTAACGGTTTCCTTTAAGAACCTTGTGAGATAAACAGATAAGATCATCTGTATTTATTTCTTTTAAACGAATAGGAAACAACTTGATCTTTTCCTAAACGATCTTAAACTCAAATATTCTTGATCGCCTCTCCTACTCGCAGGGAATAAAATCACCTCTTACTGCAAACATCTGGTAAATCTGCAGTCAAGTCACATTTTCTGAGTCCAGATTTTTTTAACCATTAAAAGTCACTAAAACTGCAGCCAAAGATCCAGCTTTGTGAAGACGGGCCCGTGAGTCTAACATTAAGGGAAAGTGGTTTGACACATTTGGCTACCTCGTCCTCCTGAGTGTCCTCCATCTGTGAGGACTGCCGGCTGAGGTCGGTGCTCTGGGTAGCGTCCTGGTTCTTCCTCCGGATCGAGCTACGTGATTCGTCAGTGATACTCTGAATCTGAGCGGTGTTGATGGCGAAGAGAAGCGGTGGCAGATGAACAAGGAAAGGGGCTAATCGTCATTTACCTTAGCGTTAGGCCAAGTTTGACTAAATTTCAATTTTTATTTATTTTGGAAACAAGCTAAAAAACTCGTTTTAAATTCTGTATAGATGGACTTGTGTGTTTTTAAAAATACGTTGATGTACAGTTACAGGATGCAAAATGTAAAGACTTTTCAGAAACATAAAAGCTTTCTTTTTGAGGGTGATATCATGCTAATCGCATTAGTATCATATCTAAGACATAGTATAAGAATACTGCATTCTCTTTGATTGATTAAGAATGCATCTACAGAGACAGAATGACTGTTGGAGCAGTGTTGTGTTCACACAGACGTCATGCACATTACCTCTCTCTCTCTTTCAGTTCTGGAAAGTTGCATCTGTTTTAGCATCTGAGACCTCTGCTCCATTACCAGCGTCTTCTCATAGGTGAAGGCTGAGATGTCATTATCATGCTGCACAAAGGAAGACAGAGCATTGGTACAGTTTACGACAACAGGGTACTTACTTATTAAAAACCGCAGCCAATCCCTAAGCTCTCCAATTTGCTGAGCTGCTATCTTCACTGCTTGTTGTTGTTTTTAACTTGGTAAACATTAGCTATATTATCAGCCCAACTTCAAAAGAGTGTTGCTTTTCTACCATTACAGGATGTAATGCATCAAAGAAAGCCTTACCATCTCCACTACTTCCACTTCTGCATCCAGTCGCAGGTGGTAAAGGAACATCTGGAGATCTTTCTTCATCTGGATGCTGTTGTCATCCATCTGAGCCACAGTGAAGATACGCATCTTACACTTCCTCCACACCTGGAGAAGGTGAGAGCAAAGTTATTATTGAAGGAGATACAGTTTATGGAAACACATGTAAGTCCATCTGTAAGGGTTAAAAGAAGGCTGGATTAGTGATTGAAAGCAGGACAAGGATACGGTAACATCATCACATAGAGGGAAATTTCCAGAGAGGATAGATAACACTAACCTTGTGCTGTCGCAGCAAGAAGGGCAGCAGCATCAACATGCCTCCATCGTGAACCACCCACCACACGTCGATGGTGCCCTCGCCCAAGCGGTCCTGGTTGGTGGGGAAACTGTCCACATTCTTCGCCACGAGCAAGGCATGATGGGCAGCTGTGGTCTCCCGCACCGTCTCTGAAGGGACAAAGGAAACCGATTGTTTGAGACGACTAATGGGCCGACTAATCAGAAAATATTGTATATTGTATTGTATTGTACAAACAAGTTGTTGCCATGTCATAGAAAAGATGGACAACAGTTGTGCTAATATTCATTCATTCTTATACATTTAATAAATGTTTATACACTCATGTTTATTTCATACATCCCTCACTCTGTACCTATAAAGTTCTTCCATGACTGCGGGTCATTGGACTGCCTCCAGGTCCCGGGCCAGGCCATGAGGACTGTGTTGTGTTTCATGCCTCCCAGCCCTGCAGACTGGATGAGGTGTGAGAAGCCGTCTCGGAGGTTTGAAGATACCACAACATGGCAGAAACCTTTTGTTCTCTCTGCTGACATAGCAGACTTGATGTTCTGGATGGAGAAATAAAAGAAAAGGAATGGAAGATATATAAATGATAAAGCAGTGTTTATTTAGAGAAAAATATATTTTTACTAAAGAGCAAGGACTCCCTTCTTAGTTCCTATAATACTGATCCTAACCCCTCCCTCAAAATCACATTCAGCACTCTCATTAGTATCCACTCAGGACAAGTCCTTATGGTGGCTCTAAACAGTGCCCATGAATACCTCAGTCTGTGTAATCTGGAATTTATTTTCTGCACATGATTGATTTAGCAGAAAAAGTAATCCTATGATTGAAAAGCTTTTGAGGACAGAGTCAAATCAGGTTGGAAGAACAATGTCTTGCTTAATTTCACCACTAGATGGCAGAGTTCTCCTTAATGCATAGCATGCCTGTAATTGTTGGCATGAAGAGACAAGTCAAATCACTCAGTTAACACTTGCTATTGTGCTTTAAAAATGTATTTAAATTACAATACATAAGATAGTATAGACCAATGATACTTTATACAGTAACTGTGACAATAAAATCCAGCTTTTTATGGACATAAGCTGTTTGAAAAGTGCTGAGTTTTCTAATACAGCAACAGATATGACAAAATAGTAAGACTTGCATTTCTAGTTTTTTTTTTTTGGCCTGTCCTTGAGGGTGAATGTACGTATTTTTACTTTACCTGCTCAGCTTTCTTGGCCTCGGCATCTTTGGTGAGGTAAGTTCCTTCTAAAACATTTCCCACGATTGTCAGGCCTTTCCCTGCCTTCAGCTGAGTGGTCAACGACAGCAGACGAGGGTGTTTGACTCCCTGATCCGAGTCCACGTTCAGGAGCACCAACACCTGAGGCCTGGGTACATCATGAGAAAAAAAACATATTAGGGACAATGTCAGACTGAACTTCTTTGCAACGCTGTGAGGGATACAAGAGGTTGATTCATCTTTCAAGATGAAGAACAGCAACAGATATTTTGGTTTTAAAAAAATGTTAAAAGACAGAAGACAGAAGCGCATTCAACAGAATCATTCAGGACAAACGTGACTGATCAAAGTATCAGTAACAGTAAAAGCCCCAAAATGAAAAACCTGGGAGCACTGATAGCCTAGCAGTTATGTTATGTTGAAACTTGTTTAGATTTCGGAAAGGCAGTTTTGCAAGGTCAACCAGAGCATGCCTCTGAACAGAATCGACCTTTTCTGTCAGATTAGTTAGAGGACCAAGAGATTAATCAAAGGTCTATTCTTATCTGTCTTTCGTCCACTCAAAACAGTGACAGGTGCTGCATGCCAACTGTAACCACATCTGTATGAAGCACTCTCTCTCTCTCTCTCTCTCTCTCTCACACACACACACACACACACACACACACAAACATTTAACTCTAACTATATTCTGTGCTGTACCTCCAGTTCTTTGTGTGCGGTGGAGCCTCCTCGAGACGTATAAGGGCAAAGCGTGCTGCATTGAGGGACAGGCCACGGATGCCATCTCCCCACTCCTTCTCTGCCCTGAAATCAACAAGTGAGTGACATTGAAATTTTTAACACAAAGCAAACCCACTGCTAGTGCATGGGTAACTTACTGTTTTAGTTTACACGCTAACGTGGTGTGTGTTTTTTCAAAGGACTTTTTGGCCATTATGCTGATTCAGTCTAATAACTTTGGGTCTGTTGGAACATTTGCAATTTAAGAATATAAAGAGAAAACAATATTTAAGTACAAGAACCCTTTTTCAGTGCATGCCAGCATTATAATCTGAGAGCCTCTCACTCCTTACTGGCTATGCATAATGTGTTACTTTAACAATGAAGTGGATAAACCTAAAATGCATACTTGGTAATCCTAAACATTAATGGGGGTTTCCTTAATCCTTAATTAAAGTTTGATTTTTTATTGTTTCTAAACAGCAGCTCTGATATGACATTCCTATGCAGTTTGCATTTAAAGCTTTTACATTTGGTAACACAATGTATCATAAACAAGTATTTTTGTTTCAGTTTCCGCCCCGTCACTGTTTTCCAGCCCAAGGAACAGAAGGACAGCATTCAAAGATTTTCTTACCCTCTGTATTCAATGTACTTGTAGATGCAGCTTGCAATGACCATGGCCACAATCGCATAATACCAGGAGCAAATGAACATGAGAGAAAGACATAAACTCATTCCCAGAAAGGAGAGAGCCCTGTGGGAGAAAAAATAGAATTTACCACATAATGCATACCTCTCTATTTACAGTACAGAGCAACAGTTTTAGGTTTTTCTGCAAATTCATACAAACAGTCTAACTGGAAACCTGGTCAAAGAGAACAGCTGAGAGGCTTAGAAGTCAAATAAAATCATGAAATCCACTGCTAACAATAGGTCCGTCCTCTTTTGTCCTCGGCTTTTGTCATGGTAGTAATCTCAGTAAAGGTCATCATCACACTAAACAAACTGAGCAGGTGTGTGTGGGGTTGTTGAGAGCTTTTGTTCTTGTGATTCTTTGCATTATTAACAAGGGAGGCCGCCATCATCTAATCGGTGGGGTCTTTGAAAGTTAAAACAAGCCAGACTGTTTGTTGAACTGCAAAGTTTAAAGCCCTCAGTCGGACCTCTGAGACATTCCAAATCTGCTTCTTTGGGAGGTAAGTAAAGTGGTTGTGCTACAGATAGACAATAAAGTAACAAGCTTGAATAATTTGTAACCAACCAGTGATAGTATTTAAAGCGTGGTCTCCAGTTAGGCGTCCGCAGCAGGGTCTGAAGAGCACAGGCCAGGTTGACAAACAAGTAGCACATGAGGAAAAACCTGTGCAGGCAAGACAACAAGCAAAAAATGAGGAAAGAAATACAGCTTTCAGATCATCTAAATCTCCACTTTATGAAGTACTGTAAGCAGCTTTAAGAAGGGAAATACTTGAGGGATTAAAGACTTCATCTGTTGATCTGATTTCATGGAAAGACAGCTTGCAACAATGCTATGAAAACAGATACTGACATGGAGAGAATAGGCGCCACAGCGTCCAGGGAGGCGATGAGGATGCCGATCTCGCAGATCCCAGCAGTGAGCAGCAGAGCCCAGGTGGGTTCTCCGTTAGCTTTCCCATGACCAAACACCTAGCAAACATAGTAACACGTGAAGATAGAAGGCCAGCAAATGATTGAGAGGACAGCTTTGACTGTGTTTTAGACTATAGGTGTCAAACCTGTAAGAAAGGGACAATGCCATCTCGTGCAATGGCCTGCAGCAGTCGAGGGGCGCCAGTCAAACTCTGCAGCCCGGCCCCGCAGCAGGAGAAAACGAGCCAATTACAATAACCCATGGTGAGGGCCATGACAGAGTGCCTATAACAAGGTTCCCTTTCACAGAGTCACCAAATCTGCAACACAAAAACAATCACATACATTCTCATTAGACAGTACTTCCCATGACTCATAAAGATAGATAAAAAGGTGTCTGAGAGGGCACAGTGGTCCATTCACATCACATGATTGCAAGACATTTGGGTCACAGTTATGAGGGCACATAGTGATTAGATTCATCTGCCCTTAAGAGATGAGAATTCAACAGATAGGAGAGGGACTGTGACCTAACTACTGTATATTCATCGCAATGTCTTTTATAGAGACTCCTTTAAAAGCAAGTCCATTAGTCCATTTAGCAAATGTAAAACAACATGTGCTCTGTGCTAAACTCTTACTTGTCTCGAAGAAGAACTCCCTCAATGCAAGCACCAAAAAGCACCACACAGGTGACGTCTGCAAAGCACTGTTAAGGAAAGTAAAGGGAATTGATACAAAAGTAAAATCTCTTCCTTTTCATGTTGCAGAAAACCTTTTGTAAACTGCGCACAATAACAACAAACTACTTGTAGGGAGCAGCTTTGTTGTGTTGGGCTCTTTAGCAGGATTTAGTTCTTGTTCCAACTGCACCAACAATCAAACTTTTTGATCTTCTGTTACTAAGAAGATCTGATATCAGTGTCCCAAAAAGTGAAAGGATACAGATGAAGGAGGTCGTAGCAATAGCCAGAATGGTTCCGATGGGGATGGACTTCTGGGCATCCCGCAAGTCCCCTGAGCGGTTTGAACCAGCCATAATACCTGAGTGGAAAGAATCAAAAACAATGAAAGTTATAAAACAAATACATTCTTCATGACTGTGTGCGTTGCCTTTTTCTGATTATCTCACCAGTGACTGATGGGAAGTAGATGCCGACCAGCAGTGTGAAGAAGGTGGCGATGTCATTGACTACATAGGGCATGTAGATGTCCTGGGAAGTGTCACCTACTGGATCAGAGTCCAGCTTATTAGATTCCACCTTCATACCTATTGGGCCATACTCTGACCACATATTGTCTACAAGACAGAGACGCAGAAAAAGAGAAATTAGGCTACAAACAACAAAGGCCATGCACCAAATAAAAAAAAACAATTTGAAGAGCTTTATGTACAGTAATTATCAAACAGAAAACAAATGGGACTAGTTTTACAGAAGCCTGAGGTAACACGTGACGTAAAAAAAAACGTGGACGTAGCAGCCGTAGCAACACGACATTATAATGACAATATTTGACTTTCCATCAATGCTATGTGTAGTCCAATGGAATGACAACATCCACAAAAGAGCGGAGAACAACAAACTGAAGAACAGAAAACAGAGGTATGGAGATCGTAGTGATCGCGTGCAGACACTTTATGCACCGTGCGGCAGTCACTGGATATTATTGAAATTCCATTATTTTGCATTTAAAGGGTAAAACTTGTTAGGCTTTTATTTAAAACATTTGTACTGCCTTGTGCCGTACTTTTCTCCCTCATTTAGTCAAACACCCATACAAAGAAAACAGTGATATACTGGTTTGCAGTGGAAGTGGGGGGCGGAAGAAGAATGAATGGTTTGTACTGAAAAAGCATGGGTAGTTCAAGACAGATCACAGCACAGTTTCCACCAGTAAGAGCAGTCAGATGGAACCCTGAATAGAAACAAGGCAGAACCAATTTGAATCTGAAAGGGTGGAAAAATATCTACATTTATTTTTTAAAGATTTTTTTAGGGAATGATATGCGGGGAAAGGAGCCACAGTCGAGTCATGCACGAGCCCACACTCAAAACATGAGCTGAGGTCCGCTTCTAGACCAATGGCGCTTGTGCATGTAAGTGAGGGGCGTGGCTTTTGAGGGAGCATAGATGGGAGGGGGTGGGTGCAGACGGGGCACTGAGGGAATTCTAGTTTTAAAATCATGCTAGTTTTGAAAAATTACCAACCCTGCCTTTAAATGAAATCGTTTATAATTATTCCTTGTATTGCACTTGAATGATGAATTATGAAGAATGATGGTTAAGTGGGTATTAGTGAGTGAGCCAGAGACTAAAAGGGTTTTAATTGAAAAAGTTCAAAGTATTATTAAGAAAATATACCAGGGAGCTTGTTTATATTGAAGTACATTTGCAGACTGCTGCTTAAAGAGTTGCAGACTGCTCCAACCTGAGATGACTCTGCTCTTCAGTCCAGGGATGCCCTGCATCAAGGTCAAGTTGTTGTTGTCAAAGTAGTCGTTGCAGGTGGCGTTGAGCTCAGGTCCTTTACAGAACAGCTGCCACAGCTTAGTAGTGACAGTCAAATTGTCTATGACTTCTGTCTTCAGACAACTGTCAAAGTTGTGATTCTGCAGAGTGCGATTCCCCAACATGCAAACACTGTGTGCAGGAAGAGAGGATGAGAATGAGTCCTTTTAAAAGACATGCTTTACTATATAAAAAGAAGAAAACTTATGCATATAGAAATGGCAACAGTACGTATCATCATATGAATCAATTAATCATGGGAGGCTTTTGTGTAGGAGACTCACGGAAAGTCTGGCGGCTCAAAGATGGTTTTGATGACACCAGCGTAGATGGAGAGGATGGAGAGAATGACACAGGCCAGGAAGACTAGAGCCAGCTTGTTGACATATTTCACTCCTACAAAGACGACTATGGACATCAGTGCTAGGCAGCATGTGCCATAAACACGCATGTTATTAAGCAGTGCCTCCACCTCATCCTCCTTTTTCTCAGCCACAAAGATGGCTGCTTTAGGCACAATGTATGTCTGCACGGGGGGAGAAGGGTCAGAAGGAAAATACAGAAACACAGAATATCAGGGTTTATTATTCACTTGTTACATTTCAAGTTATATCCGTGCTCCTTGAAATATGACACAAGGTAGGGGATGGATAATATCTGAATAAAGCCATGTTATATATGTGGTGGGCACATAGTGTTCACTCACCAGCAGAATCTCTATCGTACCCAGGATGTACATGGAGCCAGCAAAGGTTGTTCCAAGGTAAAAGCAAAGGCCTACAGCTCCACCAAACTCAGGGCCCAGAGATCTTGAAATCATATAATAGGAGCCTCCAGCTGGGAGAAAAGGGAGGCAGAGAGGGAACGAGTTTAACAAGGTAAAGGAAAACTATCTCCTCTTAAGTCAGCTTTATTTTTTAATACGAATATAAAAGTTGAGCTTGCAGATTTTCTAATTGCAGCGTTGAACAAACAAAATATGGTTGCCAAGGTTTTTGTCTGAAATATATGCCTGAAATTCTCAGTTAGTCCGCCATAAATTACCATAAAATCAACAAACAAGGGGAGAAAAGCAAGATTATATTTCGATACAAAAATTGAATTTTACTCAGAAAGTTATCCAATTTCAATCTTGGAATCAATTATCTGTTGACTAATGACAATTTAGACAGTACGGGGCCAGTATGTTTGTGCCTCTGGTTTACCGAGGAGATGCCAGAATAACTAATATCAGGTCTCCCAACAACAGACAACTTGAGCTTTGAGAGTAAAGTCGAAATGGAGAGACAACATCTAAAACCAGATTATTTTATGAACGCTTATTCAGATATCGGTGAAACACAAAACTTCACTGTCAACAGAAACTAGGACAACTCTAACACCATCTATTTTGTCCCTCACCTTAAGGTTGTGCATTCAAATTCAGATATCTACTTTCAAGATTAATCAAATAGCATTTCACACCAGTTGCAGCACGTACCCATGAGCCTATGATTTCCCATAACATTATTTTTAGGGCCCGACCGATATGGGATTTTTGGGGCAGATAGCGATATTAGGGAGAGAAAAAAATCCAATACTGATATATCGGCTGATATCTTCTCCTTGATCTGAAATCTTTACAGACCGATATAGCACAAACATTTATTGCATTGATCCTTCAAACGGCGCTATAATAAACTTGCGAAAAAGATATATAATGAAGACAAAATTATTTTACTGTTGAACAAAAGCCTTTATTGGCCAGAATAACAACAGCACACTGAATTATGAATATAAATATAAATAAATGATAAACTTATATTGAATAAATCTATTTATATAAAATTAGCCGATACCAATAGTCGATATTATCGGCCGACCGATTAATCGCCAGGCTTTATTTATTTCATCCCCATAACAAAACAAAAAGATGCTAGGACAGAGCTGGAGTCTTTTAATAACAATACATCCCTAATTAAAGTGTGTATATGTCTCAGTACAAAAGTGACTTACCTGGCACGACACCATTAGTAGCAATCGCACTCATGGATATAGCTGTCAGCATGGTCTATAGAGAAAAGACATGAGGAACAACAACATCAGAATAAAACTCACATTTCAGAACCTGACACAGTTAATATCCAATCAGTTATATATACATCTCCTTGACCTTTTATGCAACCTAACATTATTAGTCTCTAGGAAATTTCAAGATTTTCTAAATAATAGAACTTAAAGCACTTAATCCAGCATGTAGCCTGTTAAATCGCTTCTTAACAGCTAATGCTCTGAATCTTGTGGATTGGTAATGGATACGAGCTTTTCTGTGAAATCAGTCATTGTGGCGGAGGATATTTACATCAGCTGTTACCTAATAGTGCCTCCGGATGAGGGAGAGGACACAGCAGAGAGAAGGGCAGAGGGACAAGATAAGAGGAACAAAGAACATCGGAGAAAAGAGGGAAAGTTAAAATTTAGAGACAAAGGGAATGAAGAAAGGAAGTGTGAAGGTGGGAGAAAACAGGACCAGGATAAGAGGATGAGCAGGGAGAGGGGGGGGGCAGGGGCTAGGTACAAGGACACGACTAAGATAAACCTCATGCTCTTTGCTGGGTGTCCGGTTTAAAGTGGCAGACGAGCTGGAGTAAAGCCAATTAGCTGACAGTTTTCCTTCAGCTTCCACTGAAACCCTAAATAGCTGTGAACTTGCATGTCTTGACCACAGATGAACACAACAGGCGGCAAGAACTCCCTGTAGAAACCTACTTCCTCAAAGTTAACTGAATTTGTTGCTCTGATTCATTCCTGTGGCGTGTGTAACAGTTTTTGAAGTTATATTTCAGCTGCAAACAAAGCGGCATGGAGCTCCTAGACATTAATATGAAAATGTAATTCAAAGTTATAAGTAGGCTATTCATAATTTGACATCTAAAAAAAAACCCACAACTAAAAGGCTCTGGTGCCTTTTCAGTCTCTATTGAAGGATGAAAGCTTACACCAGTAAAAAGTAATTATTTACTTTAATGACAATATGGCAAACCATACAGAACACATGAAGTGTTTGTTGGTGTCTCTCCCTCCTCCCCTCTCCAATCAATAAGTGTACAGCCTGGTTCAAAATGAATATGTTTGGAATAGCAAGTCTGTACTGGTACACGCTGTATATAGCATCAAATGTCTGTTTTCTTCTTTAAAGCATGACAGCAGGAAAGAAGCATGGAAATATGAGAATAAGTACAACAGGAGTGAATCAAAACTGTTCCAAATGTACATCCAACACATTATTTTGAGGTTATTTTTAGACTTTTCTGGTGTCATCTCTGGAGCAAACTAAACATGACCTATAAACTGTTGGCTGATGTGGAACCTGCAGTGCAAAGTCAGATCTGGTCTAAGCAGTGAAAAATGAACATTAATCTGTTTGGCTAAGCTTGGCTCTCTTATTATGTAACAGCGATGACGCAGTGGACGGTTAACGCAGCAAGATGCACTTAAACTAGATTGTAATATATGAAATGGAGTCCCCATTTTTGTGGGCACGCCGTCATGTCATCTATAATCTTATAATCTATAATAAGAACGTCAGACAGAATGTACAGGTTTTTATTCATTTTGATTTAAAATACAACATGTTGCAATTAATAAAAATATAAATACAATTCTGAGATCTAAATATTCTCATAGTTACAAGAGAATGGGAATAACAAGGAGGAGTGTTGACTTTGAAGAGTGTGGAGTTGTCAATCCTCGCCATACTGTTAATGTAACATGGTAGTGAACACGTTGACCATATTAAAACATTAGCACATTTCATTATGAGTCGGTACTCAAGGTTTTTTTTGGTACTTTCCCTGATTGAACTGGATTAATCCATTGTCTGTGGTGGGATAGTTAAATATAGCCGTTGTGTGGGTGTGTAGGTCGCGACGTTTCTGACACTTTGCAGATGGAAGGGGATTAGACATCAAGCTGCTTGGTACTATTAGAAGCTAGGAGTGTATGCGAAATGGAGAGCCACATCGGCTAAATATAGGTGGGATCAGTGGTCACTTAATGAACCTGCTAGTCATTACTGCTGTCAATCAAACATTCTCAAGTCTGCTTTTAAAAGTTGAGGCAGCGTCTGCCGCAGAAGTCAATATAACACTCCAGCACATGGAAACATCTACTCTCTCATGTGATTATGTTTTCATGATGCATTAAGAGGCTGGATGTGTACATTTAGTCACTCTTACATCATTTTGCACGACGTAAATGCTTTGATGGCTTAACTCTGAAAGTCATTAAAAGGAAAGATATGTCAATAGTGAGAGCGTCTCCTTTTAGTTTTCACTCATCTTTCATTAATCTACGTTTCAACACTGAACAATGAAGTGGAGAGATGTTACAGCTGTACAACTTAACCGTTGAAACGGTCCTCCAGTGCCTACACAAGTATTGATGCTTCCTGTGATGTAATCTCTTGGGAGTATTTTTGCATGCCTCTCATCTCTAGAATCAACACAACCTCGGCTACATGGTTATGTAAGCAAAGAACACATAGCAATTGATTGAAGGATTTAAATTGTGTAATAAATAGAAAAAACAAAAGCAGAAACAATTCTGAATGCAGCAGCATGATACAATATTTATAAACACGTCATGACTTCTTGAAAGTCTGCTCCTTATATCCTGTTTTGGAGATGTGCCTTTATTAATGAGCAGAGTGCAAAGGAATCTTATAGTTGTAAATGCCACGAAAAAAAAACAACTTTGCCTTCATTGATGTTGTTTATGGAGCAAAGAATCCCCTACCCAGTAGCACAGCCCATTTGAAATGACACCAAAGACGATATGATGCCATACAGGTTTTAGTCTCTGCTGCAAAAAGAACAAAGATCCCAGCTATTTTGATTCAAACAAAACGTATTCCCTCATGAGTTCATTTTATATGACGATCCCTTCACTTCCATTGTAAATGCTAAGATGAATGAGGCACGACAACTAAAAAGAAGCAACATGTTAAAAATGAGGTTCCAGTACTCACACAAGAGCAGCACAGGCAGACAATAGCCAGAGACTCCAGGATGCCGGCAGTGCCAACTATCCAGGTAAGACGCAGGAACAGGATGACCCCCAAAATATTCTGGAGGCAGGGGAGGTAAACACCCATGAAGGTTCCCATCTGAGGGCTCTGCAGAGAGGAAGTGAGATGGGAGAGGCTTATCAGATAGGAAATAATGCAGTATTAGCAACAAAACAAAGCCCAGAGCAAACAAGACAGAAGTGTATAAAAAAGGAAATAGAGTTGGAATAAGAGGCATTGACAGGAAAAGAGAGAGGAGTGTATACAAATGAATTCACCTTAAAACGTATAAACTAATCCCACACTGTAATTGGAAAACAAATCTGCGACATGTTTGCAGTTTGTGCTCCATGTTTTGTTCTTGTAAATTTCGCTGACTTTGTCTGCGATTAAAACATAATCCATTTACTGTAAGGAACAAAAACAGCATATACACCTCTAATCTATCCATGAACAAAGAAAAGCATTTATTGCTTCCATCCAAAAGATTGCAATCCTTGCAGAAAAATGCAGTATCATTAACAGCACTTCAGAAGGCAGAGGCAATATTTTGACAAAACGCACAAACTACTGAATATATCACCTCTGATAAACAAGCTACCTTTGTCCACACCTATCCCAGACGTACAGCACCACTCTCACTGATTCAGACAGAAAGGGGCAGCATTGATGTCATCTTTACATCCTTACAGAGGTTACAGAAGTATCTATCTGTTGCATGACAGCACGAGTGCAACTTTTATATTTTATTTTCTAAAGAACCACATGAGGAAAAAGAGATAATGAAGAGGAGAAAAAGAGCAACACTCAGGCATGAGCTGATTTATAAGAAGGAGACAGCAGCTGATGGATTGTCAGGGTTGCTGGCCTTAATACATTTATATAATGGACTTTAACCACTGCTCTCTGGTTTAACCCATGGGTTCAAAAGGTCACCAAGGTCAACACGGAAACAGCATCCTATGCATCTACTATGCTTAGTAGAGGAATCTGAAATCAAGTAAAAACCCATTCAAATGGATAATACTTCTTAATAAATATCTGTCTCCTCTGGGACAAAGGGATGTTAGTGAACTAAATGATATATGTATGACATGTTCTGTGACATGTTTTTTACTTAGGATTTATTCTGTCCATTTTGTTAGTGTCCATTGACAATAACAAGCCTAATAACATACATCAGAAATGTTGAATAAAGAGGCCATGAACCAAGCCTTTCAAAACTGATAAAAGAAAGTGAAATAAATAATCAATAAATTTAAAAAAAAACCTGTTCTCTATATGAAATATTGACTTAAAAAATAGTTTTTGACCTTGTCCACAGATGATTTTTTAAAAGCATAATTTCTACTTAAAAATGGACTTTGAATGGTCCTATTACTTACAAGAACAAAAACTAAACAAACTAAAACTCATTATGTTCCCAAAGAAACAGATTCACTACAGAAGGCACAGTACAGTTCAGGGAAAGATGTGAAGAAAAATATAACCAACGAGTTAAAAATGAAATGTAACATTTGAATCTTACTAGTCCTGAAATACCTTCAAAAGGTTTTGATACAGTTTAAAGGTAAACATTAAAGTAAAGCCAGCTAAACTTTAGCATACTTCCCTAAAAGATTTCAGTGAAACACAGAAGAGCAGAGCTTCATCGGTCAGAGACCTGTTATGTAGCCAAAGGTCAAAGGGTTTAAAACAACAACTGTTCAACTGTAGTGTACCAAACTGTACTGCAATGACACAACTCCACCTTAATCACACAGTTTTAGAGCAGGCTCTCTGCTGTACCTTAACAGCTTTCTTCTTGGGCCCTTCATCATCATCAGCCTCTTCGTGCTCCTGGGCCCCCTGGGTGAGGTTGGTGTAGTTGGCCAGTTTGTTGAGGAGAGATGACACCATTGGGTTGCTGTCCATCTCCTCCTGCGATAGAAAATGATTTTATTTCAACATGGTGACAAAGAACAGGATCAAAAAAGAGTATTATGTTAAACTGTTCGGTTGGTTTGAACTCCATGTTTTTTGATTTAGCAATAACTGCATAATAATAAAAAGCTGCAGCCATAGCAGCAACAGCTATTCTAGAGAAAGGATTTACTCCAGTTATGGTTCCAGTTAAATTCAAAACCCAAATCTCCATAACAATTTAACAACGATCACTAGTATCTGTAATACAATACACTGTAAACACATTGGGTAAGATGGTGATTCTCAATATAAACAATTAGATTCTTAATTATTTTAGATATGTCCCCAAATTACAGCAGACTCTTGCCTTTGACTTCTATTCAAAATAAACATTAAACTGTGATGAGTCACAATTCAAAAACAACCCAATAAACGTTTGAATATCTCTCTTAAGTTTACACTTTCAAATGACTAAACTCTGTCAAAGTTAAAGATTGATTACTTTGATTTGACTTAACTACTTCAATCTGAAATTATATTTCCACTACTCTTAACACATTTTAACATATTTAATTGTAGATATTTGATATCTGTAAATATATAATATTCCTAAGTTATTGTAAATTCTACTGATAAAGAGAGAAGAAAAAAAACTTGATTTGTAGTAACATTAAAGATATATGTGAACCAGTTTTGACTTCTAAAAAATCTGAAAAATATTTGTAATATAATAATTTGGATCATAATGTCTTTTTAAGGGGGCACAGGATAGCCTAGCGGTTAACTGCCCCCTCTCTCTTCGTCCAATCTTATTCAGTAGAAAATGGCCATATACATATGTGTGTGTGTGTGTGTGTGTGTGTGTGTGTGTGTGTGTATATATATATATTTTTTTTTTACTTCTGAAAACTAAATGGCTACTGATCATGGCTGTTGATCAGAAGCTAAAAATACTTCATAGTATTATAATGTGTCTTTTGAAAATCTTTACAGCTCATTTGTTAGACTATTAAAAGATCAAATGAAGTTTGTCAAAGTATTTTTCTGTTTTTATATTCATAAAAAAAACAAAGTCTCCCAGTTAGTTTAAAAATGAACAGTGCAATATGTAACTGTTCAAAGCCTCTCAGAATTGCCTGGCTGAGTCGGCTTCACATAGAGTCAGTAAAACTGAAGTCACAGAGTCTAATTGATCCTGAAGAACGACCAGAGACCACAGAGCCACAAGGTCTGCCAATTGAAAGAGCAAAGCGCCTGGCAGAGGTTCAGCAGAATGGACTTCTAGGAATGAGGCAGCTTTAATGGCAAATAAAACTCTTTGATTGACACATTGTTGAGCTCAGACAAGTATTCATTTAGTCCCTATCTATTTCATTTCTGCCACAGTTAACCCTGAAAATAAAGCTCACTATGCATTAATGAAAGGCTTGAGCTCTATCGGCTGAGTGTATTTCAAAATAAGAGGAACAGTTATGTTTACATAAAGAGCGTAGTCATATTTCTCTAGTAGCTACCCCTCATTTTACTGAAAGAATTTGCCAGATTAAATCACAGCTGCCCCGCTTCCTGTCTATAAGAGCTATGTCAAGATTATAAAAGAACTGGTTGGTTACCTCAAAAAGGGCCATGTTGGTGCCATCGTAGCTGTTGCCTTTGTCATTGTCTGTGTTGTTGATAAAGGGACTGTTCTCCTTTGGGACGCCATCACCTGCAGAAACACAGCACAGTGTTAGTCTTTACAACAGACGCACTGTAGGTTTAAAACAGCAAAATATCTGTGGGGGCTGGTTAGGAAAGACCTACCACTGTTTCAATATCAGCCATATGTTCAAAAACCTTTTACCTTTTCTCTCTACAGCTCTATTGTTTAATATCAAAACGTTTTTTGCATCAGATTTGTATTTCAACATTGTAGCTGCAGAGCGTCACGTTTAGCCTTACAATCATGAACCATGTTTCTTTGACGACTAAATTCAAATTCCTATTGTGCTATTTAGCCTGACAGTGTGGACAAAAAGGTTGGGACAATATTTTTCCAATCCCTGGTCAAATCAAGCATCAATAAAAACACTCAAAAAGAAATGTTAACAAATGGATTAGGCTTTATTAAGCCATTAGAAAATATGATCTGTATTCATTTCTGTATTGTGAGCTGTACAGATTTACACGATAGATGTACAACATCTCCTCTTTGTTTGTTACCAACATATTTTGGCACAAAAAAATATGCATTGAAATTTTGACTGTAAAACATCAAAAACATTCATTATAATGAATTCCTTTGAGAGTAGTTGACAAGCCATTATCACAGTGTGAGAGTTAACAGTAGAGTTTTGATGGCGTCGAAGGACACAGCCCGGTCCCAAAGCCACTTTGGAGACTGTGCCCACAACCAAGGGCACCACTGGTTTCAGATTGACACATGATTAATTATTAAAACACGACTGGGACCTCTGATAACATGCATCAATGATTCAAATGTAAACTTTAGCATCTACAAACTGGGTTGAATGATAAAGGATAAGATCAAGATTTTTTATCTTTCAGTAAGTAAGAGAAATAGAGCCGCACAATCTTCTAAAAATAAAAGAACACTTTGATTAGCAAACCATAGCTCCCGTGCTTGGCTGCCAAATCTTCCATCTTTTAATGTGAATGTGCTGAATCCTTGATGAGACATGATAAAGGTTTTTTTGTTTTGTGCACTGAATATGTAAGTTTGGGTTGCCCTTTATGCTAACACAGTTCCAGTCAGATCTGACAGTGACTTATAAACATAAACTGTCAGCTGAACTTCACACTCACACACAGTACAGAGGACAGAGTGTCCACTTTTCCAACCACAGCCGAGGTCGCAGCGTTATTCTACATCCCATTCAGAAACCGAGCCGTCTTCAGAGACAGCATTCTGTCACCAAACTGTGAACCGCGTTGTGTTTTTGCTGCTGAGGCGGCAAACATGCACAAAAATGCACCGAGCAAATGTTTGCACTGAGACAGTTTAATGTGTGGACAAACAATGAGGCTCCCCTTTTCTCCATTTTGTCAATGATTTAAAAAAACATCTACTGGTTAAATCCTCATGATATAATGTCATACTGCATAGACTGAAAGGACACAAAAACATCTATTGATTTGTTTTAGGGAAAGGAAAAAATACCAGAACCAAGCAAGAGGAAGATCAATTCATTTATATAATATAATCAGATTTGTAGGACTTCCCCCATTCCCCCTAATGGTTTAAAATATATCAACGTAATAAAACCTTCTCGAAGCTAGGATTCTGAGGAAAGAAAAACAGCTGTGCTGCCGTAAACCTTTGCAAAATAAACACAACATATGTAATATGAAGACAATAAAACACTTTAAATCAAAGACTGTTAAACAAACATGAAACAAATAAAGATGGAAATCAAAAGGAAGGCTGACTATAGGTGACTAGAAAAAAATCACCGGGAGAGAAGCCGCAAAGAACTAACACGAGGATGTTAAAAGTCAACAAGCGTTCATCAGTATTCAGAATTAAAAGCTGTGATTCCTATATCCAGTTGTTAGCATTAAATATATAATATTATGTAATCATTTACACGTTTATCTCCTATAACTTTATAATACTTCAGGATTTTGAGGTAAGAAGGTCCAGAGGGTTACAGAAGAAAGAAGGGCTGAATTCCTCGAATCAATCGAGCACCTTCATTTCTAAAATGGCCTCTAGGCTTTGTTAAGATCCAGACTACTATACAGTGTTCAGTCGAAAGTCACCACATTCGTTTATTTCTGCAGAGCGTGATCATCTTTCACTGTCCTGTACAACGTCTGTGCTCGGCTCTCGTGTTACTATCGAGAGTGAGTTTCCTTCTCGGACACACTCACACTGACTGACACACACAGACCTTTATGGTTTATCTCAGACGCAGCGCCAGGGTATCGATCTTTGCTGAGCCTGGAGCAGTTATTCCCCCGATGACTTTAAATATCATAACAGACAAATGCGCATAAAGCACTCGTGATGGTCTTGACCAATACATTCATTTTTCACGACATAGATCATTATTCTGTTTAAGAAAGTCCCCTCTTTCTGATCATTCTGATTGATTAGTATTGTCCCCTCTGTCCCATAAACCGAGCACTCTGTCCTCCTGCTTCTGGACAAAGTAACATGACACGCTTGGAAGCACGTTGGTTTAACAAGCAGGGCTGAGTCCAGACCTTTTAGACCTGGGCGGCCCAGTCCCAGGGGCTCTGGCTTATGCAGGGGTGGCATGAAGATTTTGACCAAACAGAAAAAAGGCCTCATCATTTATATACCCTTGTTAAAGAAATATCAAATGTAAATATTAACAAAAATTAACAGGGAAAATCTCTTTGTTTTGTTGAAGTAAAATGTGTTTACTGCTCGTGCGATTTAAATTTAACTGCAGTGAGTAAGATCAACATAGTGAATAATTTCCATTAGCTGCTGTAATGAACTTCAATGATATTTTTTAGGCCTAGTAATAAGACAATATGAGATAATCCTGTATACGTCCCACAACAGGAGAATTTGCATTTTTACACCAGTAAAGGCAAAAAAACAGAAACATTTGAAATAAACATCAATAAAAACAATAAAAAGATATGTAAAAAAAATTCAAGAAAACAACTTGTTTTTCAGAAAGGGAAACTAAGTAAGGTGTGTCTTGTTTTCTCTTTTGTATATTACTGTTGAAATTCAGTTTTGCTTGGCGATGAAGGCTCTGAAGGACGCTCAATGGGTTAGCTTAGCAGCATGCCACAATTTTCCAGGGAGCGCAGTGCTAAACCCCCACCCCCCACAAGGGTGAACCAAAGGCTTGAAAGGCCTGAGGCGGAAAGGAGACGGCTGAACTGGTGGAGGCAAAGCATTTGCTGTGCAGAATTGGTTGTGTTTAAATGGATTGCCTTGATGTGAGAATGAAGCTGTGATAGGTGTGTGAGAGTGATTACAAGCAATGATTCAATCAGCTCGCTGTCAGCTGATTACAGCTGGGTTGTACTTCCATGCCCTGCATTAACTAATGCAAACCATTCACTAGACAACACCTCACCTGCACTTCAGATTAGGGCTTATTCAACATTCATGCTAAGGTTTTTATCTCATTTCTGTTCAAATATAAAGAATGGTTTGGATCCTTTAAAAAAAAAAAACTTTTATCAGAAATCTAGAGCAACCATTTTTAGAAAGTACTCGGATGTAAGGAGTGAGTTTAGTCTTTTGGTTTGAAGCAGTCTGTCCCTGTTATAAACACAGCGGTGCCTCAAGTAGATCTTACAATAAAAAAACAATAACTTCGTTAAATTATTTAACTAAATTAAACTGAGAAAGTAACTATAAGATTACATGCATACAAAAATCTAATTGAATTGAGAGGTTCATGACAATTACCAGCCCTAGTGGAATTGTCTGCTGTGAACTCTGGCCACTGTGAGGATTTCATGGGTAACTTTTACTGCCTGATCCAGCTGCAGAGGGAATAAGAGGCTTGCAGCGTGGCTTAGCCGGGTGGTAATCACAGGGAAAGTCACTATGTCCTTGTGCTGTGTAGCTCTTTAAAACACAGTTTGAGTGGGATAGCAGAGCGTTTTATAAGAGGGCAGAGTGTTTCAATAAGCTGGGATCACAAGGAATTCATTTTAATATAATGTCCACACTGGGGGAATACAGCTAAGTGTGAATATAACCTGTCAGTCACTGCTTAGCTAGGATGCTACATTACACACCACAGGTAATCATTGTCTTAAATGACACCGGCTAAATCCTCTTTGAGACCCGGGGGCAGGCTAAAACTGGCAGGACTGTTTCCAAATTAGGTGTGGTTTGAGCTTTTAGAAAGTGCCCACGTCAATCAGTAAGTGAACAGAATCAATGAAAACACTCAGGGTGGATTTGTTACACCTGCCGTAATAGAACATGTTGTTAACACAATGATAAAAACTAAAGCTGGTTTCAGTGTTAACAAAATTAAAAAGTATGGAGAATTCAACAGTCATTCTGAACTATTCAAATATCTGTTGATTCCAGCGAGGAACATTTGAGAAGTTGCACCTCTCTTTTATGTTTTATGTCATGGAAAACTTTATCTTTTCGAATGAACAAAGCAATTTAAAAGTTGTTACTCTGAACTACTTTAACTTGTGCCGAATCTTTATTTGGCAAACATTTCTGGTATTTCATGGGCTTAATGATGAATAGAGTGATCAAAACTATAGTTGGCTATCTGATTTAGTTAAAAAAAAAAAAAAAACAGATAAAAAACTGTTGGTTAGAATATGGTATAGAAAAAAAAAAGATTTTGTACTTGATCCTTATAAGGTGATTATTGTGAAATTGTAATGTCATCACAATCCTTTTTGTTTCTAAAGGGGAACGAATAATTTATGGCAACCTTAAGTAAATTAAGATATGTTTGTAGTTGCTTTACTGAAGCAAAGCTCAGGCCGATTGGACTGAAGGAACACAGATCTTTCTACAAAGCAAAAAAACAACCAGTAGCAAATACAACAGCAAACTAATGAAATGTGAAAATCCTTACACCGGTCATGAGCCTGAACACTTTTGTTGAATTATAGTTGATCTTTTTGCCCAATGTGGAAAAAATAGACATTACTGCACGGTAGCTTTCTGACAGTCAATGAAATCTACAACCTCATCATCCCTCTTTAAGCTATTAATTCCAAAAATGGCAGATG